TAACACATTAGATCAGTTAACAAATATTTACAAGGTATTCCATCCGAAACCAGGAGAACACACATTTTTCTTAAGAAAACATGGAATATTTTCTAAGATAGATTATATTTTAGAAGAGAAAACAATAATTAATAATGGAAGGAAATTGAAATCATACCAATGATCTTTTTAGATAAAAATGGTATGAAAGTACAAAGCAATTACAAAAGGAATACTGGAAAATCTACAAATATACAGAACCTAATAGCATGCTACTAAAAATTTGATAGGTCAAAGAGTAAATCAAAAGAGAAATTTTTTTTAATCTCAAGACAAATGTAATTTGAAATAGGATACACTAAATTTTATGGCATGCAGTTTTTTAATTTAATTTTTTTATTTATTGACTTGGGGGAGAAAGAGAGAGATATTGGTTTATTGTTTCACTTATTTATGTATTCATTGGTTGATTCTTGTTTGTCCCCTGACAAAATCTGCAACCTTGGTGTATTGGGACGATGCTCTAAGCAACTGACCTCCCTGCCAGGGCCAACAAAAGCAGTTTTAACAAGGAGGAACATAGCAATAAACATTGCTGTTAAGAAACAAGAAAGATCTCAAATTAATGAACTAACTTTACACCTCAAGAAACTAGACAAAGAACAAACTTAAGTCCTCTTAGCATGAAGGAAATAAGAAAGGTTAGAGTGAAATAAATCAAATAGACACTGAAAAGAAAATAAGAAAGATAAATTTAACTAATAGCTGATTTAAAAAAAAAAAAGAATAGGAAAGTCTTTAGCAAGGCTTATGAACTGAGAGGGCTCAAATAATAAAATCAGAATTTAAAGAGGACACATTACAGCAGATACACAGAAAGACAAAGAAACATAAGAGGCTACTATGAACAATTATACTCCAAAAAACTGGGAAAAAATGGTAGAAATCGATAAGTCCTTTAAACAAACAAACTTCCAAAACTGAATGAAAAATATATATAAAATTTGAACAATTCAGTTACTGTGAAAGAGACTGAATTAGTAACAATAAGCTTCCCAACAAAAGTCCAAGATAAAATAGCTTCATTGTTGAATTCTACCAAACACTAAAAGATGAATTAATACATGTTCTTAAACTTTGCCAAAAAATAGAAGGGGAAGGAACACTTCCAAACTCAGTTTACAAGGCCAGTGTTACCCTGATGCCGAAATCAGAAAAAGAAACCACAAGAAAAAGAAATTACCAGCCAAATATCCCTGATGAAATACATATAAAAATCTTCAACAGAATATTAGCAAACTGAATTCAACATCACATGATCTCTTTTGATCATATGGTAACACCAAGAGAGACTTATTTCAGGGGTGCAAGGAAGGTTCAACGTCCACAAAAGAACAAATATGACTCACCACAAATAAAATAAAGCATAAAAAATTAATCATCTCAATAGATGCAAAAAACAATTAGACAAAGCTAATCATCCATTTATGAAAAAAGAAAAAACTCCCAACAAAGTGGACATAATAGGAATGTACCACAACATAATAAATGCTGTATGACAAGTCCACAGCTAACATTATACTCAGCTGTGAAAATCTAACCTTTCAACAAACAATTAAGTGCTAGCGAGGATGTGGAGAAAAGGGAACCCTAGTGCACTCTTGGGGAGAATGCAGGCTGGTGTAGCCACTGTGGACAACAGCAAGGAATTTCCTCAAAGCACTAAAAATGGAACTGTTTTTTGACCTGGCAATTTCACTGCTTGGGTTATACCCTAAGAATCTTGAAACACCAATTCAAAAGAATCTATGCACCCCAATATTCATAGCAATGCTATCTACAATAGCTAAGTGTTGGAAACAGCCCAAGTGCCCATCAGCAGGTGAGTGGATTAAAAAAACTGTGGTATATTTATACAATGGAATACTATGCAGCAGAAAGAAAGAAAGAAGTTCTACATTTTGTGATAGCATTGGTGGAACTGGAGAGTATTATGCTAAATAAGCCAGGCAGTGAAAGACAAATACCATGTGACCTCACTTATAACTGGAATCCAATGAACAACATAAACTAACGAGCAAAATGGAACCAGAGGCATGGAAACATGGAACAGGCTGATAGCTATAACAGGGGAGGATGGAGAGGGGGAATGGTAGAAGCAAGGGGAAGGGACTAGTCAAAGAACGTGTATGAATGATGCATGGACAATGGGGAGGGGATTGTCTGTGGACAAGAGGGATAGGCTGTGTAGAGGGAGGCAAAAGGGAAAAAAGAAATTTGGACAATTGTAACAGGATACACAATTTAAAAATTAATAAAATCTCTCTACATGATCAAAAAAAGAAAATCAGTTTTTCCTCTAAGATCAGGAGCAATAGAAGGATGCCCACTCTATGCCAATTTTATTTAACATAGTACCATAAGACCCATCCAGAACAATTAGGCAAGAAAAAGAAAAAAAGATACTCAAATTAGGAAAAAGTAAAACTATCTATCTCTATTTGCAGTTTACATATTATATATAAGAAACCCTAAATGTTCAAAATCTGCAAATCAATCAGTATGACACATATTAACAAAACAAAGGATAAAAATCATATGATCATATCAATAGATGCAGAAAAAGCATATGAAAATTTCTAAATCCATTTATGATAAACACTTTCAACAAAGTGGTATAGAAGAAACATACTTTAACATAATAAAGGCATATATGACAAACCCATAACTTAGACCAAACTCAGTGATGAAAGGTTGAAAGCTTTCCCTCTAAGATCAGGAACAAGACAAGGATATCCACTTTTGCCACTTTTATTTATGATAGTATTGGAAGTCCTAGCCACAGTAATTAGTTAAAAAATTAATAACTGGCATCCAAATGAAAAATAAAGAAGTAAAACTGTCACTGTTTGCAGATGACTTAGATACTTTATATGGAAAACTTTGAAGACTTCACAAAATACTATTAGAACCAATAAATGAATTCAGTAAAATTACAGGATGCAATTGGCTTCTTATCTGTACTAATACTAATGAACTATCAGAAAGAGAAATTTTAAAAATCCCATTTACAACAGCATCAAAATGAATAAAATACCTGAGGATAAATTTAACCCAGCAGGTGAAATCTCTGTTATGAAAACTATAAGCCACTGAAAGAAGAAATTAGAGATTGTAGAAATAAATGGAAAAATATACCATACTCATGGGTTGGAAGATTCATTACTGTTTAAATGTCCATACTGAGCAAAAGATTCTATAGATTTAATGCAATCTCCATGAAAATACCAATGGTATTTTTCACAGATCTAGAACAAAGATTCCTAAAACTTATATTGAACTACAAAAACCCCCAAATACCAAAGAAATCCTGAGGGGAAAAAAAGAACAAAGCTGGGGATAGCACAATCCCTGATATCAGACAATACTACAAAGATACAATAATCAAAATAGCATGTTAGTAGCATAAAAAAAAGATGTATAGAATAATGGAATAGAATTGAGAACCCCAAAATAAACCCACACATATGGGTCATTTAATGTGTGACAAAAGAGGCAAGAATGTACACTGGAGCAAAACAGTCTCTTCAACAAATATAGTTGGAAAAACTGGACCAATACATGCAAAAAAGAAAACTAGACTATTATACCATATATGAAAATAAATTAAAAATAAAGACTTGTATGCAAGACCTGAAACCATGAAACTCCCTGAAAAAATGTAGACAGTATGCTATTTGACATTGGTCATAGTAATATTTTTGGACTAGTCTGCTTAGACAAGGGTAACAATAGCAAAAATAAGCAAATGAGATTACATCAAAATAAAAACCTTTTGTACAGTAAACAAACCCCCAACAAAATGAAAAAGAAACCTACTGAATGGCAAAATACATTGGGAAATCATATATCCTATAAGGAGTTAATATCCAAAACATATAAGGAACTTATACAACTTAATATAAAAAAATTTTAAAAAAAGGTCAGAGGGCCCTGGCTGGTATAGCTCAGTGGATTGAGCTTGGGCTGTGAACCAAAGTGTCACAGGTTCGATTCCCAGTCAGGGTACATGCCTGGGTTGCAGGCCATGACCCCCAGCAGCCGCACATTGATGTTTCTCTCCCTCTCTCTCTCTCTCTCTCTCTCTCTCTCTCTCTCTCTCTCTCTCTCTCTCTCCCTCCCCTTTCCTCTCTAAAAATAAATAAATAAAATCTTATAAAAAAAGGTCAGAGGATTTCAATAGATACTTTTCCTGAGAAGACATATAAATGGCCAACAGGCACATGAAAACATGCTCAACATTACTAATCATCAGAGAAATGAAAATCAAACCCACAATGAAATATCACTTCTGATCTGTCAGAATAGCTCCTTATCAAAAAGACAACCAGTATTGGCAATGACATGGTGAAAAGGGAACCCTTGTACATTCTTGGTGGGAATGTAAAATGGCACAGCCACTGGAGAAAACAGTATGGAGAGTCCCCAAAAATGAAAAATAAAACTCCTATACAACCCACCAATTCCATTTTTGTGTATTTATGCAAAGAAAACAAAAACACTAAATCAGAGAGCTATATGTACCCCTATTTCCATTACAACATAATTTACAATTGCAAAGATATGGAGGCATCTTTAGTGTCCATCAGTAGACTAATGGATAAGGAAGATACATATATTAAATAAAATATTACTTAATCATATAAAGAATGAAGTTTTACCATTTGTGATATCATGGATGGACCCAGAGGGTATTAAACTAAGTGAAGTGAGTCAGACAGAGAGAGACAAATACCATATGATTTTAAAAAAACAGAAATATCCTCCCAGATACAGAGAAACAAACTGGTGGCTACCAGAGAGGAGAGAGATTGGGGAATGAGTGAAATAGGTGAAGAGACTAAAAGGTACAAACCACCAGTTATAAAATATATAAATCATGGAAATTGAAAGTACAGCATAAGGAATATAGTCAATAACTATAGTAACTTTGTATGGTTAGAAATGGTAACTAGACTTACCAGGGGGATCATTACAGAATGTGTATAAATATCAATCACTATGATGTACACCTGAAACAAATAGGATATTATGTCAATTATGTGTTAATAACAAATTATAATAAAAAATTCTAAATACTATGCCCAAAACTTTTAGAATAAATGATCAAATTTAATAATGTTGCAGATAACAAAATCAATATACAAAAATCTGCTGTTTTTATACACTAATAATGACATATCAGGAAGAGAAAATAATAGAATAATACCATTTACAAAATAAAACATCTAGGAATAAATAATCAATATCTAGCTTTAAAAGTAATAAAATATCTAGGAATAAAATTAATTGGTAAAAGGCATGTACACTAAAAACTATAAAACATTATTGAAAGAAATTGAAGACAAAAATAAAAAGATAATCCATGTCATGGATGGAAAGAATAAATATTGTGAAAATATCCCTACTGCCAAAGCAATCTACTGATTTCATGCAATCCTTAGCAAAAATTCAATGACATTTTTCACAGAAAGAGAAGAAAATCCTAAAATTTTTATGAAATAACAAAACACCCCCAACAGTCAAAGAAATCTGCAGAAAGTGGAACAAAGCTGGAGGTATCTTACTTCTTGATTTCAAACTTTATCATGAAGCAACAGTAATAAAGAAAGTATGGCATTAACATTAAAATAGGCCCTGGCTAGTGTGGCTCAGTTGGTTGGAGCATCATCCTGTAAACTGAAAGGCTGTAGGTTCCATTCCCAGTCAGGGCACATGCCTAGGTTGCAGGTTCGGTCATCAGTCAGGGTGCATACCAATCAGTGTTTCTCTCCCTGTCTCTGTCTCTCTTTCTTTTCCCCTTCCCTCCCTCCCTAAAATGAATAAGCATGTGCTTGGATGAGGCTAAGAAAAAAAAACCAGACCCATAGATCAATGCAATGGAATACAGAGTTCAGAAATAGAACCATACATACATGTTCAATTGATTTACAACAAAGGAGCCCAGAAAATACAATGAGGAAAGGATAAATGGTGTGGAGAACACTAGACAGCCACATGGTAGAGAATGAACCTGGACCACTATCTTACACCATACACATACTAAAAAACAAACCCTGGCTGCTATGGTTCAGTGGATTGAGTGCTGGCCTGCAAACCAAAGGATTCCTAGTCAGGGCACATGCCTGGGCTGCGGGCTGGGTCCCCTGTGGGGGGCACACGAAAAGTAACCACACATTGATGTTTCTCTCCCTCTGTTTTTCCCTCCCTTTCCCTCTCTTTAAATAAATAAGAAATCCTGAAAAAAAAACCAAATGCAAAATAGATTAAAGTATTTAATATAAGGACTGAAACCATAAAACACATAGAAGAAAACATAGACAGTAAGCTTCTCAACATCAGTCTCAGGAGTGTCCTTTTGGATTTGACTCCAAAGGTAAAAATAATGAAGTAGGACTACATCAAACTAAAAAGCTTCTGCCCAGCAAGGGAGACAAGTTAACAAAATGAAAAGGCCACCTACCAAATAAAAAATGTATTTGCAAACCATACATCCAATGGAGGTTAATATCCAAAACATACAAAGAAATCATACATCTCAACAACAACAACAACAACAACAACAACAACAACAAAACTCCAAACAGGTTTATTGAAAATGGGCAGATGGCCTTGGCTGGTGTGGCTCAGTGGATTCAGTGCAGGCCTGTGAACCAAGGGGTTGCTGGTTCAATTCTCAGTCAAGGCACATGCCTGGGTTGCAGTTGAGAACCAACCAGCATTTCTCTTGCACACATTTCTCTCCTTTACCTGCTCCCTCCATTCCCTTCTAAATAAATAAATAAATAATAGGGAAAGGACCTGAATAGGCACTTCACCAAGGAGGACATACAGAGGGCCCACAGACATATCAAAAGACGCTCAGCATCACTAGCCATCAGAGAAATGCAAATTAAAGCCACAATGAAAACCACTTCACAAAGGTCAGAATGGCCATCATAAACAAATCAATAAACAATAAGTGCTGGTGAGACTGTAGAGAAAAGGGAACCCTAATACACTGTTGGTGGGAATGCAGACTGGTGCAGACACTGTGGAAAACAGTATGGAATTTCCTTAAAAAACTAAAAATGGAACTGCCTTTTCACCCAGCAATTCCACTGCTGGGATTATACCCTAAGAATCATGAAACACTAATCCAAAAGAACCTATGAACCCCAATGTTCATAGCAGCACAATTTACAATAGCCAAGTGCTGGAAACAGCCAAAGTGCCCATCAGTGAATGAATGGATCAAAAAACTATGGTACATTTACACAATGGAATACTACATAGCAGAAAGAAAGAAGGAACTCCTACCATTCACAACAGCATGGAAGGAACTGGAAATCATTATGCTAAGTGAAGTAAGCCAGGTGGTAAAAGACAAATACCATATGATCTCACCTATAAGTGGAACCTAATTAACAAAACATACAAGGCAAGCAAAATATAAACAGAGACATTGAAATAAAGAAGAAACTGACAGTAACCAGAGGGGAGGGGGGAGAGAAATAATGGGGGAAAAAAGGGAAAGGGTTATCAAGGAACATGTATAAAGGACCCATGGACAGAGCCAAAAGGGAGTAGGATAAGGGTGGGAGGTGGGGGTGAATGTGGCAGGGGAAAGTGGTGATAGGAAAATGGAGACAATTGTATTTGAATATTAATAAAAAATAAAATAAATAAAAATAAATGATATTGGCAGATGAATAGAAATTTTTCTAAAAAAGACATACAGGTGGCCAACAAGCACATGAAAAGATGTTCAATATCACTAATTATTTGGAAAATGTAAATCCAAACCACAGTGAGATATCACCTCACCTGTTAGAATGACTATCATCAAAAAGACAAGAAACAAGGGAGGATGCAGAGAAATATGAAACTTCATATACTGTTGGGGGAATGTAAATGAGTGCAACCATTAAGAAAAACTATAGGAAGATAGGTAAAAAATAATAATAATAAGACTAAAACTATCATATCATCCAGCTATCCTACTTCTGGGTATTCATCCAAAGAATATGAAAACATATGCACCCCTATGTTCATTCCAGCATTACTTATAATAGCCAAGGTATGAAAACAAATAAATAAAAATGTGGCATATGCATACACATTATTCAGCCATAGAAAAGGGTGATATCCTGCTATTCATGAAAACAGATTGTTCTTGAGAATATCATGTTAAGTGACATAAGTCAGAGAGAAAAAATACCATATGACTGCACTCATATGTAGGATATAAAAAAAACAAACTCCCCTGGCTGGCATAGCTCAGTGGATTGAGCGCAAGCTGGGAACCAAAGTGTCGCAGGTTCAATTCCCAGCCAGGGTACATGCCTGGGTTGCAGGCCATAACCCCCAGCAACCGCACATTGATGTTTCTCTCTCTCTCTCTCTCTCCCCCTCCCTTCTCTCTCTAAAAATAAATAAATAAAATCTAAAAAAAAACTCATAGAAGCAGACAACAGATCATTCTTTAGCAGAGGTGAAGAGGATAAAAAAGGTCAATTTTATGGTGAAACTGGAAACAATACTTTTGATAGTTAGCACTATGTAGTAAATACAGATGTTGAGTTATAATGTTGCGCACATGAAACTTATATAATGTTATAAGCCAATATTACCTATATTTTTAAAAGCATTAATTCTCACCTTTATTAGAGGGCATGGAGTACATATTGTCCACCTGTAGAAAAATGTCTGCATCTATTATCCTTGTGTACCCTTATATACACTCTTTATGGTTGAGGGCAATAGTCACAAAACTAGTTTTCATTCACCTTTTTGCAGGTCAAGTGTGATGGTGTTATGGCTGAATATGCAAGCTTGGAGGAGTTGACATATACTGACTTGGGAGTTCTGCCAAAACTAAAATTGCAAGATTTATCTCAATATATTGTTATACATACATAGTTCTTTTATTTTACTTATATCACTTGACTTTCAAAACACCTTATGACTCAAATGTTATAGGTATTTATTATCTTCATTTACAGAGATGAAAATTGGACTCAGAAGTTAAATAGCTTACTTCAGGTAATACAATCAGAAAATGATCCCAGTCAGGGTACATGCCTGGGTTGCAGGCCATGACCCCCAGCAACTGCACATTGATGTTTCTCTCTCTCTCTCTCTCTATCTCCCTCCCTTCCCTCTCTGAAAATAAATAAATAAAATCTTAAAAAAAAAGAAAATGAAAAAAATTATATTTGAACTCAGATTATAGCTACAATAAGTAGTTAGGGGATACAGAAAACAAAAGGATCTAAAATATGGTATCAAAAACATAAGGTAGGGAGTGGGAGTAAAATTGCCATTCTATTAAAATGGGCCCAGACTTAAATGCTTATAAATATAGATCGATACATATGAATCTCATGGTAACCACCAAACAAAAACTACAATAAACACATCAAAAATAAAAATAGGGCCCTGGCTGGTATGGCTCAGTGGATTGAGTACCAACCTGCAAACCAAAGGGTCGCTGGTTCAATTGCCAGTCAGGGCACATGCCTGGGTTGTGGGCCAGGTCCCCAGTTGAAGGCATGCAAGAGGCAACCACACACTGATGTTCCTCTCCCTCTCTCTCCCTCCCTCCCTTCCCCTCTGCCTAAAAATAAATAAATAACTCCTGTGAGGCTAGGAGTTTCTCCTGCTGCCAAAACCCCCACAGGTTTTTACAGCCAGGCTTTCTTTTCCCACACTGGTACCCTGGGTTGCTCGATCTGTCTCCCTCTCCAGTTGTTCCTCCTGGTTTATCAGCCACTACCTCACCCACCTGGAGGACCTGGTTCTCTAGAAGCTGCCTGCCATGCTTCCTCTCCACCCCACCTACCAGTCTGAATAAATATTTTTTCATTAACTCCTTGGTGCAAAGCCCTTATTATATGAAATGTTAAAGGGACTTATCTAAGATAAAGATGATGATCAAAAATATGAACAGTAAAATGACAACAAAGTCACAACTATCAACAACTGAACCTAAAACAAAAACAAAAACAAACTAAGCAAACAACTAGAACAG